AACCTTTCAAAGATCCTTCCAAACCGAAGATTTGGGGATCCAAAGGTGTTTTGAGTTGATATCTGGTGTCTCAACCTAGGCCAGGCTGAATGAGGCTGAATGAAAGACGAGGAAGAGGTGCCCCTTTAGGGGATGTAATTCATCAGAGAAGCTGGTGTAGTAACTGCCTGAGAAAGAGCTAAAGCCATATTGTTTTATTTTAGGAGCTTCACCAATAGCTGCAGGCCTACCCTCACTAGAAACAAGAAGATTCACCCCTTTAACAAGGTTTTCACAAGAAAGTGGCAGAAAGGCTCGAGGGAGTCTCCTGTCCCCCCTGCCCCCTCTCCTCCTCCTCCCCTCCCCCGCGGGAATCCCGCTTTGTTTTGGAACAGACACTCTCTCCCATGGCAGCCCCAAATGTCACTGCTATTGCTTTCCACTATCCCTTTGGGGACAGATGAAGCACCAGGCCAACCCAGGAAGCGAGCCTATTTCCGCTTGTAAATTTATTCATGCATTCTCTTGACAAAAATAGTTATTAAGTACCTACTGTATGCCAAGTAGATTGTCTTTTTTGGTAAATAAACTCTTTTGGTAAATAAACTCGTAGGTAAAGAGGAGGTGGATATGTTTCCTCCTGTGTAGATCTCTTCAATCTTCACAGACAGTAGAGGGGAATTTGACAAGTCCCCAGGAAAGAGTAAAAAGGACGAGGAGCTGCACAGGAGGGTAACTGATTAGAAATTCAAAGTTCCCTTTGTGTTTGCCTGGGGAAGATAACATCAAGAGTACAAAGATGTCCTAACAGCAGCCAAGCTCCCTGGGCTCTCCCCTCCTTGACTTTGCACAAGTAGGCTCCGCAGTTGGCCTTGAAATGCCTTCTTTTTCTGGGCTCTTCCCATCAAGACTGGGCTCACTCCTTTCTGAGATTTAGTTCACGAGCCTGCCTTAAGTATCGTTTCCAGTATCTTCCTGCAGTTTCCCTGACCATCGAAAGCTGTTGCAGGGGGAGAGAGGTGGTGCTCAGAGAGCTTTTGGGGTCAGGAAAACTCCATGCATTTATTCTTTCATAGTGGACCTCAACTAATTTCCATGCACTGGTTTCTTGCTGTTTATCTCCCTAACTGGGCTGCAATTTCCTCAAGAGCACGGTCTGGGTCCTCCATCCTTATGCCTAAGGCAAGTGTGGAGGTTTGAAAGGCAATAGTCCAGAGAAATGATCAATACTGTGTCATCAATAAGAATCCACACAAAGTTATTGTTAGTGATTCCCCACCCCTCAGTTTTGTTAAGTTGTTCATTTACTTCCTTAACGTTATAGAATTTCAGTGAACTATTGGCGATTATATTACAAGACTATGAGCTACAGCAAGCTTCAGATTCACACTTATTTGCTGAAAGCAAGATCCTAAAGTCAACTGGAGGCTCCGCCACTCTCCCTGTGGGCTCCTCTGATGATCTCTTACCGATCCTGACTGAGCTACGACTTATCCAATTTTACTGCTACAGTTTTCTCCACAGTTGGCCCAAGGATGTATTCGTGCCTTTGAAAGAGCTGTGTTGAGGGCCACCTGGGTGGCTTAGTTGGTTGAGCGTCTGACTTCGGCTCAGGTCATGATCTCACAGTTCGTGAGTTCGAGCCCTGCATCGGGCTCTGTGCTGACAGCTAGCTCAGAGCCTGGAACCTGCTTCAGATTCTGTGTCTCCCTCTCTCTCTCTGCCCCTCCCCACTTGCACCCACTCTCTCTCTCTCTCAGATATAAATAAAGATTTAAAAATTTTTTTAAAAAAGAAATCAGACCTACAGCTGACACTGACAGAGATAAAGAGGTCGTGACACTATTAATATCCTAGGGAAAGCTCTCTGTCAGAAGCCGAATATTCATTATTTGTTTTCTCCCCTTTTCAGGTTGGGAGGAACTGTGACCTTGGCAACAGGACTAGTCAGCACTGAGGGAGAACAATGATAATAATCACATTGATAAGAGATCACATGATAAGAGATCATCATAAGGCTGCCTTATATTACACTAACAACTTTTTGGGACTCATCATAATGCTTTTTATTTCAGAATATTTTTGTCTTCTTCCAAAGAGCAATGTTTATTTTTTTTTTTAATTTTTTAAAAACTTATTTTGAGAGAGAGAGAGAGAGAGAGAAGGAGCAGGGGAGAGGCAGGGGTCTGCACTGCCAGCACAGAGCCTGATGTGAGGCTCAAACCCATGAACTGTGAGATCATGACCTGAGCTGAAATCAAGACCTGGACACTTAACCAGGCCCCCCAACAATGTTTACTTTAAAAGTTAAGCTCATTCAGAAAAATTCAAGAGACTCTAGGAACAAAATGAATTTTCAAAACGAGTCTCAAATTCAACATTTAAAATCACGGGTAAGGGGCATAATATCTGGGTGGCTCAGTCGGTTAATCATCCGACTCTTGTTTTTGGCTCAGGTCATGCATGATCTCACAGTTCAGGGGACTGAGCTCCGCGCTGACAGTGCAGAGCCAGCTTGGGATTCTCTGTCTCCCTCTCATTCTCTGCCCCTCCTCGGCTCATTCTCTCTCTTAAAATAAATAAATATTTTTTAAAAAAGAAAAAAAATCATGAGTAAAAAATAAGAACTTCAACTGACTCTACTTCTTTCATTTTTCCATTGACCGTAATATTCTCACCCACATAGCACCAATTTCAATATACCACAGGGTAGAAATCTGGGATGGTGGCCATTTGTTGCTCAAATTGGATTACTGGTCACACATATAAAAATATGTGAGGTCGACTTTGAGTTTTAATAAGCAGTTATCTTAAAGATTTAAAGAAAGAATAGTTTCTATCATTACATCCAAGTTGACTCTGGTTTAATGCTTCCCTCCACATTGAAAAAGGAGTATTTTCTGGGTGGGATTAAATCTCCAGGTACGGGATGTACAGTTTGCCTTCTTATAGATCAGAATTAGAATTACTGAGTAGGTTTTTTCTGCCACCACCATGATTTTAGCACAGGGCTTTTTGGCTCCCAAATGTTTAGAGAGAAATTGATTTGATAAATTTCCCTTTAATTGCATCTCCTACTAGCCAGTGAGTTCAACTGTGCTTTGAACATATTGAAACTATGTTAGAATGGAAAAGGATGTTAGAGAACAGCAAATCCAAGTCTCATTGATTAAATAAGAAGATAGAAGCTTTCCTGGGGCAGTGAAAGAAATTTCTCATGGGTGCAAATTTAGATAACGACAAGGCTGAATCTGCTTCTTACTCCTTCATGGGTCCCCTTTCCACCAGGATAAATCACAACATGTTAATCAGATTTTTGTAAGCTGAATTTTATTTCCAAAGCAACTAAAAGGTGCACCTTAACTCTTCAAGCAGAGCTTTGCATTATAAACAGATTTGTTTTGTATGCATGTATGTTGTCCTAATTTCTTTTACCTGAGTCTTCAAGTATCTTTATAAGCATTGAGACCAACCCATGTTCCTCTTGTAGCATGGAGAGAAATGGGGAGGGGGGACATCTGGTGAAGAGGGAGATCAGAGACAGAGAAGAGAAAGAGATGGTGGGTTTTGATGCATTCATTCAGGCAACATGCTTCCCTTAGAATAGATAGTCTTGGACTTTTTCCACGAATGTGTGCTAACAGTTGCACAACCTTGTTCCTCTAAAACACTCCTCTCAGGCAGCATTATAATTGGAAATCAGACTCTATTTGCAATGGAAATCAACCACACACACACACACACACACACACACACACACAGACTTACTAGGACACAATTGCAAGATTCTACCAATGCCAGTAAATGAAAAGGTTCAGGCAATGCAGGAAAAATTGCTTGCTCCTTGGCCACCCTAATACACGCACATTAGTTATATCCTGGAGCATAAGAGTTCATTGTGCACTCAGAGATTCCAAAAGTGATTCAGTATTAAGGTTGATCATGAATCAGATATAAAACAGAAGTAGGAGCCAGACCTGAGCTTGTAAGAGATGAGAAAGATCCTAAATAGCCCATTGAACACGACCTTCTTAGGTAAACACCGCCAGAGCCTTTAGGGATGGGGTTAGGTTGCATACAGGTCACCTTTATTTCCTTTAAATAATGAAGCCTCACACCAAATGCAATCAAATCCATGCTTACGAAATAAGAGGAGAATAAACATCTCTACTTCTCTGCATCAGGTAGGGTTGTTGGGTTAACTTTTCTAACAAGTCAGATATTTCTTTTCTTCTCTTTACTTGACCCAAATGTTTAGGATTCCCTCCAGAATATTGACCAGCCGGATGGTAACCAGAGAAACTCAAAGGTGTTTTCCCATTTATCTAAAAAAGAAGGCCAGCTAATACCCAACCCCTGTGTCCTGATCGCTTTCCTCTCGCCAGGACTCTGGCTAATTTTATTGATGGAGATTGATATATTAAGAACAGTGAGCAATCCCCTCTTCCTCATTGCAAACCTGCCTCCCTGTCTCAATCCATGTACATTAATCAATAAAGGTTAATGTTTATACAGTTCTGATACGTGCCAGAGAGTGTGCTGAGGGATTAATATACAGTAATTCATGCAATCCTCATAACCGCCCCCCAGGCAGGTTACTGGCATGTCCGTTTCACAGAGAAGGAAATTGAGATACAGAGAGTGAATAAATTGCCCAACCCCACAAAATAGTGGAGCTGGGATTCAAACACAGGCGGTTCGATATTGTATTCCACGCTCTTAACCATACACTTCTGACTCTGAGCCAGCACCCTATGGACGAGACATCTCCTCGGAGGAAATGAAGTTCGAGATCTTAAGTGATGCATGAGATACCCCAGGCTGCCTCTATCTGCCTCCTATAGCTCAGATCTTCCAAGCCTCTGTGCTGTTAGCAGAGAGGGAGGAGGCGAGCCCCAATCTGTAATCACAGACCTGTTTCAGCACAAACAACAAAAGCTCTCTATTGTCTCTGAGAGCCTCCCCCTGCGCCAAGATTCTCTGTATCTGCATCTCTTAAGCCCAAATAACTTGGTTCTCACCTTTCCAGGCACGAATGGGGCAAAGCAGCAAGTCCTTTGCACATTTTGGCACGTGGCGGCTTAACTTCTCAGTTATGAACACAAGATTCTGCAGAGCAGAGCGAGTCTTTGAAAACTTCTGAACTGTCTAGGACTGCCTTTCCCTCCAAGGAATATATAGAGGCTCTTTGCCAGCCCTCTGTTGCTTCCTGGACCAATCCAGACCTCAGAGGAAATCTCTGGCCGGGGATCAGCAGTTGGAGGAGGAGGAGGAGGAGGAGGAGGAGGAAGAGGAGGAGGAGGCTGGAATCCTGTCTCTGCAGCATTAGTCTCCGGCTGCTCCAATGATGACATTCATTCTTCCAGGGCAGGGCCCTCTCTTGTGCACACAGGTCATTCACATTTTAACGCGTGAATGTGAACCAGTCGCGGAGCAGAGGACCCCGGCCCGCCCAGATCTGCCCAAATCATAGCCTGTAGGACTGCAAAGGCCTGGACACCGGTCAGCCCAACTCTGTGTCACAGTGGAGAAGGCGAGACTTAGAAAAGCCCTGGGGATGTGTACTGAGTGCCTCCGTGTGCCAGGCTGCCGGGCACTTAGCGGGATGCTAGGGATTCAAAGAAAGGCATTCCCTGCTCTCGAGACCCAAAAGCATCATATCAATGCAACGTAAGTGAGCGACGGAGGAAGGACCAACGTGTAAGCTTTCAAGGGCCACCAGATAAGATGTGGGGGAGGAAATGAGCCCTGAGCTTAGTGATATAAGAAATAAAAGACCCTACACCATTCTATCCACTAGGGATCACCCCCAGGTCCCCTGGTTCTGTCATTGGTCTTCTGATTAGTCTTTACTTTAGTAATGACTTCAGCTAATTCCTTGGACCCATCCCCTACTACCCGTCCTGAACCAGGCTTGTCTTCCCTTACCTTTCAACCTTTCCCTGCCTCCTACCACTCGAGGATTATTTCCACCAAAAGTTACCTTATTTGTGTTTCATCCTGTTAGGACCCAAGGGATTGATAAATTAATACAATGCCCTGAAGGGGCAGGCAGGAGTCCAAGCTAAAAATAAACAGCACCATTACCATCTGTAAGAAAAGCTCTAAATTTAGAATTCAAGATGATTCTCATAGAGTTCCGTGTTGTCTGAAATTATTTGTTTTAAACTGTTGGTCAGGACCCGTTATTGGCTTGTAAAATCAATAGAAGTCTATTAGGATATAACATTCTAAATTAAATAAATAGATTATAATAGACATATATGCAACTACATTGCATGAGGAAACTTAAACATGGTCTCCTGAAATTTTTGCTTTAATTATCAATGTGGATATATGAACACGGTCAGTAGATAAGCTCTGTTTCTGACTATAATTTGTAATCAAAAAGGTTTGAGGACCACAGCGTTACACCATATATTTTATTAGCGAGGAACAGTGTCATATTCACCTTTGTAAACCCACATCGACATTTGAAAATATTGCTTGAACTAAGTGCAACTGTCCAGATTCTGCCATTTCCTGGCTGCATAAACACCTGAAGATCAACTATTCTGAGGGATGGAACACTCAGTGTTGGTAGAGATTATGAACAGCATTGTTGACCATTGAGTCTCAGGTTGGGAATATCTAAACTAGCAGAGGAGACTCCTTGGGGCAAGAGCTTAAGTTACTGCTTCATGTTTAAGGATCCTCGAGGAGAGAATAATATGAAAACAATTAAGGTAGAGCCACGGAGGGTGATGTCTTAGCCAGGGCTGAAGATCAAAGCAGGTTTCTGGCTGATCAGAAGAGCTCATGTGATGCACGGGGTGGACGATTCAAGAATCAAAATGATCTCAGTCATACCAAAAGGTGGGCTAGAACCCGAAGTATGAAAAGATGCGAAACACAACAGAAATAAGTAAGAATCCAGTACCTATTTGTTTCTAAAGCTTCATTAAGGGTGGAATCGCCCGAGAGCATGTAAAAGAGCCTGCTCATTGTATCAATCAGGGTTCTACAGAGAAACACAGACATATATATACTTTATATAAAGAGAGATTTATTACAAGGAATTGATTTATGTGATGCGAAGGCTGAGAAGCCCCAAGACCCACAGTCCCCAAGCTTCAGGCCCAGGAGACCCAGTGGTGTGTAGTCTTAGCACAAAGCACTGAGACGCAGAGCCTGGGGTAGATTTCTACCACATCTGAAGGTGGGGAGAAGACCCAGGGGCCAACGAAGATGGGCAGGAAGAGAGAATGAATGCTCACGTCCTTGGTGTTTTTGTTCTATTCAGGACTTAAGTGGGTTGGATGAGACCCACCCACACTGGGGATGGCAAACGGGTTGGCTGGTTCAAATGTTAATCTCATCCAAAGCCACCCCCGCAGACTAGAATAATGACTAGATTCACCCACATGACTAGAATCATGTTTAGTCAAATATCTGGGCGCCCTGTGGCCAGTTAAGTTGACACGTAAAATTAACAATTACGCTCATGTAAAATACATTTGAAGTTCTTTTTAAATTAAATAGAACTATTTTTTTCTCCTCTCCCTCCTGAACATCCCTCAAAATGATAGTAAATGTATGAAAAATGTAAAAAGCTATAACACCACAGAGAAAGAGAAACAGGTGGTCATATACGGAGTGGTTTCAAGGTCTTTCTAAAAGGCGGAAAGGGGTGGTTGGGAGTGGCCACTAAGAAGCAGGGAATAGAATTCAGAGAACAACTCGAGAGGTGTCCGTGTGCTTTGCAGGATGCCACAGGGGTGCGGACTCTGAGGCGCTAGGTTCTACAGAGCCAGGAATTCCCTCCGGACCTGGAAGGGAAGTGGTGGGAAAGATTTCCCGCTGACCCCGCAGAATGTCTGTGATTCATTTCTAATTCATTTTCTTAACTAAATCATGCACCCGTCTATTTAACTATTATGATTATTATTTTTTAAAGATGCATCTTTTTTTTTAATTTTAGGGAGAGAGTGGGTAAATGGGGGAGGGGGAGGAGGGTGGAATCTTAAACAGGCTCCATGCTCAGCACAGAGCTTTCTTCGGGGCTGGATCCTATGACCCTGGGATCCGGAGTTGAGCTGAAATCAAGAGTCCGATGCTCAACTGTTTGACCCACCCAGGTGCTCCTATGTAACTATTATTAAACAACACATTTATTGAGATGGCCTTTTTAATTAGAAAAATGTTTATTTATTTTTGAGATACAGAGAGCATGCAGGGGAGGGGCAGAGAAGAGAGGGAGACAGGATCTGAAGCAGGCTCTGTTCTTATAGCAGAGAGCCTGATGCGGGGCTGGTACTCACAAGCTGTGAGATCATGACCTGAGCTGAAGTCCGATGCTTAACCCACAGAGCCACCCAGGCGCCCCGAGATGCCTTTTGTAACCAGTGATGGCACATGGTGGGGAGAATCTCTGATCTGGAAACTTCTGGGCTCCTCTGGATGGTGAACAAACTTCCACCCGCTGATCAATCTCTTCTGGTCGGAGTTTCACCCTAAGGCCAACTAAAAGCACACAGAATAAATAAGGTGATGTGTTCACCTTACATGGTGCTTGATTTCTTTCTTTCTGATACATTTTTAAAATCATGTACTGGTTCAAGTTGTAAATCTGCCACTAGAAGTACACCCTGTCAACAAGTTGTTATATTCACTTCTACATTTTTTTCTTTAAATAAAAAAGCAACAGATAGGACTAAAATCCTTGTAAATAACCATTCCTATTTCCATTTTTCCATTCTTCTCTCATCTTCCACACACACTCCCTATTCAGATTTTGGTATGTGGTTTTCTTCCAGATCTTTGAAAAATTGCTTCCTGCACATCGGATTCATAAATAATATGAAGTAATTATGTATATATGCTTTATTTATATGTAGTGATATAATCTCCACCTTATAGTTTTATTCAGAATTATGAGCATTTTTAAAATTTTTTAACCTTTTATTTTATTTCTGAGAGAGCGAGAGACAGCGTGAGCAGGGGAGGGTCAGAGAGAGAGGGAGACACAGAATCTGAAGCAGACTCCAGGCTCTGAGCTGTCAGCACAGAGCCCGACGCGGGGTCTGAACCCACAAACCGTGAGATCATGACCTGAGCTGAAGTCGGATGCTCAACCGACTCAGCCACCCAGGCGCCCCTGAACTTTTTGTTTTTAGACTATAGTGACACAGAACATTTTCTATGTATCAGGGATTTTAAAAATACTTTCCATATATTTACCTATTAATTTCTCTCAATGAAACCATGAGATAAGTGGCCTAATTAATGTCATTTAAAAATGTTTATTTAGGGCAGAAGATATGAACAGACACTTCTCCAAAGAGGATATCCAGATGGCCAACAGACATGAAATGATGCTCAGCATCCCTCCTCATCAGGGAAATACAAATCAAAATGACACTGAGATACCACCTCATGCCAGTCAGAGTAGCTAAAATGAGCAAATCAGAGAACTCTAGAGGCTGGTGAGGATGTGGAGAAATGGGCACCCTCCTACACTGTTGGTGAGAATGCAAACTGGTACAGCCCCTCTGGAAAACAGTGTGGAGGTTCCTCAAGAAACTAACAGTAGAACTCCCCTATGACCCAGCAATAGCACTGCTAGGAATTTACCCGAGGGATACAGAAATGCTGAGGCATAGGAGCACATGTACCCCAATGTTCATAGCAGCACTCTCCACAATAGCTAAAACATGGAAAGAGCCTAAGTGTCCATCAACAGATGAATGGATCAAGAAGATGTGGTTTATCTATACCATGGAATACTACATGGCAATGAGAAACAATGAAATCTGGCCATGTGTAGCAACATGGATGGACCTGGAGGGTGTTATGCTGAGCGAAATAAGTCAGGCAGAGAAGGACAAATATCATATGTTTGCACGTATAGGAGGATTAGGAGGAACTTAACAGGAACAAGGGGGAGAAGAAGGGGGGAAATGGTGGGGGAAAGGGAAAGAGGCAAACCATGAGAGACTCTTGAATGCTGAGAAACAAACTGAGGACTGATGGATGTAGAGGCGAGGGGGGAGATGGGCATGGAGGAGGGCACTTGTGGGGATGAGCACTGGGTGTTATATGGAAACCAACCTGACAATAAACTATTTGTAGGAAAAAATAAATAAATAAAATAAAATTTTTAAAAAATGTTTATTTAT